GGGGATCTCGTAGTCGAGCAGTCTCGACTAGAGCTTTCTTACTTGTTTTTATTTAAAAATCCGAATCATTATGGTTTCTTTTCTTAATATTTTATTCTATTCATACTGCTGTTTTGTACTGAATTATTCTGAATAATATATAAACTGCTCCGAGCTACGATGCAAAATATATGTAAACTATCTATCACGCTTTTATATTCTGAGATAATTATGTATTTTAAAGTAAATTGAATGCGATAACCCAGCAGTCAATAGAGTTGGCACTTTTTAAAATTGCAATCTATCAATTTGTGTTGTGATTGATTGATTGATTGACAGACCATTTTGTACTGCTGCTGCTTTCATCAGTGAAATGATGAAGCCAATTAAGGCCGGCGGAATGCTAGGGATCAGCAGATAAAGCCGTGCAGCTAATTAAAAAAAAAGGAACAGAAAGTAAAATATGCAATTACTAATGGTAAAATCAATAATAAAGAAAGAAAGAAAAAACATAAATAATTAATAATTTAAATGCTTTGAATGAAAAAATAAAAAATACAAAGAAACAATGCATAGATAAATGATGTGAAATGAATTCAAAATAAAATGTGCAGGCACGCACATAAATAAACACAGAGGACAAATAAATAATAAATAATGTTAAACATACACAATTTAGTTAATATAAAACCCAATTAACCAAAGCAGCAACAGCAACAACAACAATAATGGTCACAACAGTATGGCTAACAGAGACGATGTGCGGCAAGGCAAAGACCATTTAAAAAGCCATTGAACAAGCCGAAGAACACGAAAAGAGAGAACGGAAAAGACGCCTGCAACGTCGGAGGAGAGGACGAAGAGCGCGGCCGTCCGACGATGCCATGAATGAATGAATGTCATGAAGTCAACTAGGACAAAGCATATAACACTCATTTATTAATGTACAATTTCAGCAAGAGCAACAAAAACAGCAACAACCACGACAGCCAAGAGGACCCCCCATCAGCAGCAGCAGCAGAAACAGCATGCAGAGACCGGCTAGAGCGCAAAGTAAGAGAAGAGCATTAAGCTGCTTAGAGAGCTCTGAGCTCACATGAGCGCACATGTTACATTTACATTGTAAGCTCTGCGCTCTCTAATCAATTTGGTGCTCCGCATGGAAATGCATTTGCAGAGATATGCTCTCAGCAAGCTCTCTCACACATACAAAACCACAGGCACTCGCACGCACAAGCCCCACAGTAATAATGACATTGAAAACACAGCCTCGTCTTCGTCGTCGCCTGTCAACAGAATTGGGGCCACACTGTGCATGGGGGAAGCTTTATACAGTGCCTTTGCCAGCGGGTGACTGACTGTTAACAGCAGCCGATGCTGTTGAAGGGATAGCGATGCTAGTGACACACACACATACGCACCCACAGACACACACACATATTCGCACTCGACTGCGTTGGATAGGCCGAGCGAGAGGAAGAGAGCGCAACTGGTTAACAACAGCAACTGAGTGTGTGACATAATGTGAGAGGCGACCGGTATACTTAGCAGCACACTGCTGTTATTTCAACTGGTATGCCTGAACTCTCCTCTCTTTCTCTCTCTCTCTCTCCCTCTCTCATTTTCTCTGCAGTTCTTTCCGTGCGATGGCATTTCGGTTCGATTTGGAACTGGTTTTCAATATGGATGCATTTCCCGCCTCACTGGGCTGCTGTTTGTGGTCAGCGACGGAATGCTGACTGCACACATTGCTGAGGCTTCCTACATATTCCACAGGCATATCTGATGCGCGCTGTGCAGATTGATGTCGATCCATATCCATAGCACTTATGCATAGTGAAGGATTCTTAATGCGTTTTATGTTGCTGGCGTAATAAATACCAGTTTTTAATTGATCTTGTGTGTAGGCTTCTTATACCTCTTTTCCATTAAAAACCTAATGAGGAAGGGTATATGCATGGGCATAAAAACTTTTAACGAATCCATAGAAAATAAGAACTAGATTTCTTTGAATTTTTGGTTGAGGTAAAAGAATAATAAAAAAATAAATAAAATCATTTTAACCCCTTTGTGTTACATTTATTTATTTCAGTTTATGTTTTTACTGAATATTTGGTTCTATAACTTATAAATGCATTGAGTACTGCGAATAATTGAATTTAGATATTTATTCGAAATTTCAGCAGCTTTCTTAACATTTCCTTAGCAGAACAGCAACTGAGCTAAGTTTAGCTGCAAGTGCTTACCATCAATTTAAATGTTAATGGCTCGTTTGGGTTTGCAATGTAAAAGCGACGGCTGCTGCTCCGCTGCTGCGCTGCTGCTGTTAATGTCAGACAAATGGGTCGTTTTACGTTCAACACTGCCATGAATTTGAAATGTTAATGAGGCGTTGGGTGTTTGTGCGCCTTAACAGACTGCTAAAAGCAAAGGCTGCATTTTATGGAAGATGTTCGTTCCATGGCCATTGCCTGTGTCTCTGCCTCCGACTTCCCAGTCATACCCAACTGTTAGTCCGTATGTGGTTTGACGAGGACTCATGTGGGCAATAATGGGCAAAAATAGAGTTAAGTGTCTCGTCAACAAATGGGTTAATGCTGCAAATAAAAGTGTTTGCAATGAGCCCTCAGTTCACTTGAGTTTTCTTCTTCCCTAAAAAGACGCTCAGTACCCAGCCTTAAATAAATGTATAATTATCTAATGAAAGCCCAGTCAATGACTCCAAAAATAAATAAATATTCTACAGTCATAGAATTTTGTCGGTGTTTAATGTACATTCATTTGCATTATCTTACCGGAAAATGTATTTATTTTGTCATAATTAGCATACGTGCTTGGCATTTGAACTTTAAGTGCCACCGGACCGACAGTCTGTTTAACAGCTCTATGTAGGTATGGCATTAATAACAGTTCCAGCCGTTTACATAGTCAATTACATGTTCGTAATGTTTTTGATATGCCGCAAATGCACCTGCTACGCTGCTGTTGTTGACTTCAACAGCACGTACATAATTTAACAGCTCTTAGCTCTGCTGATGTTAACATTGTTTCTCAAACATACTCGGCTCTCTGAATGCTCTCCGCATTTATGGTTCTCTCGGTATTTTGATTGCCACTGTAAGTGCTTAAGTAAAAGGAAATTAAATTATGTAAACGATAAGCGCTGCTTAACAGTGGCACTCTCTCAGCCGCATGCACTCTCTTGCTCAGCTGTGACGCTTGCGCTCTGGGCAAAACAAACCCCCTCTTGATGCCACTAGTGCCGCTAGCCGGCTACAACGTTGTAAACAAAAGTTGATTTTTACTAGGTTCTGCTCTCTGTTTGTTGCGCGCGCTCTCGCTCTCTCTCCCATACTCGCTCTCTCATTCGCTGCTGCTGCTGCTTCTGTTGCTGTTGTTGAGGTGACCCAACCAGGTGCTGTTCTGCTGAAAGCGAATTCAGTTACTTCCGAAGTTTCAAAGCGAGCGGTGCACGCGTCGGGCGGAGATTTCTATGACAATAGCAAACTCGTCGAGCTGAGCAAAAGCAGCAAAAAATAACGAAAAAAACTAAACTGCTCTCTAGCATAGATTGACATGTACATGTGCTAGAGCATTAAAATCACCAAATTATACTGAAATGCATTTTGCACGCTATGTAAATATAAAGTGAAGATATTTCGTGTAAATACATATTATAATTGCGGTTTCATATGCAAATCCGTTAGACAACAAATCGCGCGCGACTGCACTTTCGAAAAGCAATTCGAAATTAAATCAAAACACACAGCAGCCAAAAATCTCGCTACATTCTTAACTGCGACGAGCATTTCGGACATTAACCGTTACGCTTACGCGCGGCCCTCGCCTGTAGGTGTGCGAGCGTGTTTGCTTGTGTGTGTGTTCGGTACGCGCATTTGCCGTGTTTTTGTGTGTGTGAGTGCGTATGTGCGACAGAGAGTTGACAATAGGCAAATAGGCAAATCATATGCCGCCCACGTAATGTGTGACGAAATTTAAATTCGCCATCTATGCAAATACAATTGCACGAATCGCATGTATGTGTATGCGTCGGTGTGTCGGTGTGTAAAGCATAAAGTGTTTCGGAGTGCGCTTGTGTATTGGTGCTAGTTGGATATTCATGCGGATTACCATAAACATAAACAAAGGATTAGAAAGAAAAGGCAACAGCCGCAGCTGAAGGGGAAGCGCAGAGCCCACAGAAGCATTTTTGGGATTACAGCAGCCGCAATAGACAAAGCTGAAGGCGAATAAGGAGCAGAAGGAGCAGAAGCTGTTTCAAAAATATCACTACATTGCACAGGTGAGTCACCCACTCCACGCCCAAGTCCACGCCCACTTTTATGGCCCACACTTAAATGATGTATTACCTATGCTGCTGTGTGCACGTTGCACTTGCGGTTTCTGCTCCGTTTCTGTCTCTGTATGTGTGTGTGTGTGTGTGGAATGCGCGTGTGTGTGTGTGGCATGTTAAGTGCAATCCATTATGGAGATAGATTTCTGTATAAGTATGCGTGTGTGTGTGTGTGCATATATAACCTGCCTTACACTACCTCAGTCACAGAATCTGTCTCAAGTCAAAAGCATTTAGCTTACACTTATGTATGTTTACACATACAAAGGAAAAATATATGATAAATAACCCCACACAGAGGACGTCAATATAATATGCTCTCTCAATCAATTTGAAGTCTCGCAAATGGAGCTAAAATGTTTATATGTTTATTGAAAGTACTCTCTATACTCTTGGTATGATTATTCATATGGATGGAATTTGACCCGATTCATTCACGTTTTACATATTGCATATATGCATATACAAGGCGTATACATATACGTATGTTATATGGTTCGAAAATTCCTTGAACTGCAGCAGACACAAAAAAATGGAAATTTATTTCGAATAAAATATATATAGTGAAAGGCATACGAAAAAAGTGAAGCAAAAGAAAATTCCCGCAGGTGCTACAATAGATGCAAAAGTTTTTCCCACGTTAAAAGTTGCACATTTCCAATGCGTAAAATAATGAAAAACTTTTGTTAAGAATATGCATAAAGCATAAAACGAATAAGAGATGAGCGCACGTAAAAACTAATTGAACAATTTTTGATATCAATTTTTGGGCTAACCCAATTTTACTCTCGCATATATACGTATACGTTTTTTGTTCTTCTTGTGTTTTTCCATTGATGCAGCCGAAAGAACAAAAGTGAATGCCACAAGTTTTTCCACCCAAACGAAAGTTTTTCCAACAATGTAAAAGCGGAGAAAAGCCAACTATGATTTTAGCATAGATTGTTATTAAAATGGGGAAATATCTAAAAGTTTCGCAAATTTTGATGCAATTTATGAATCAGTTTTCATGCATTTCTAATAGAGTTAGCCAAGTATTTTGTTATTGCAGAGCTTAAAGCCAATAACGGTCTTGAATATGGCTAGTTAAAGTTAATTGATTCCTTAGTGGAGAGCACTCATAATGGCAATACAAAAACTCTCCTGAGTTTGTGTTTGATTTATTATAGCTCAGGTCTAAATGCCCAATTAGCATAATAAGAGTCAAAGGCGAAGTAATAATGATGTTAATTAAGAGAGCAGCAATACTTTGAACACATTGTCGTTGGGTGTAACCGACTGCGCTATACTCTGTTGACAAATTATTAATAATATTTATATAATTTTTTTGGGATATGGGTACATTAAATAATTGTCATATAATATTATATGTTTACCATATACCAAAACTGTATAAGCTATAGCTCCTATAAAATACATATAAAATATTTAAACAAAACCTGAACATTAAAAGTTTCCAATTGGTTAAAATTCTTTTGCACTCTATAGACAATAGGATATAAACCATATAATTATGCTTTGCTGCACCAAGGCCTCACAAATCCAATAGAAAACACAAAAACCAAGAATAGCCTTGTACATTTTTAGTATATTCCTTACCAAACCTAGATATATATGTATACTCTATTCATAATTTCCACTAAAGAACAAATATTGTTACCAAAAATTTTTAACATTTCCCATTGACTGTTCAATTGTGGAAAGACCTTTCTTTTCGCATTGTTTTACTTTGCGGCCTTCGAGAAGAGGCAGGCTAACCCATATGCAGGATGAGTTTTTCACTTTTCAGTTTTTAAGTTGGCTTAATCCGCTTATCCTGCTCTTCGTGTTTTAATCAATGCATTGTCATTATGATTGATGTAGGTCGTCTCTGCACAGAGGCACCGATGCATCCACTCTATATGTGGGCATTGTCTAGACTCTGAGCGCCCCTTGAAGCAATGTTATTGATTTGAGTTCGACTGTTGAGCCCTCTCCCGCGCCGGTCTGAAATCGTTCAATATAATGCAAATACTGTGCACTTTGGGTGCATTCATTTCGTTTTCGGGCAACTTTTTTAATTACTCACATACATACACTCTGGCTATTATTATTGTTATTATTATTATTTTGTTTTGGAGCCATACGCAAATATTGAAATATTGCCGCTGTTCGACGCGGCTCGGCTTGGATGTTGCCGCTGCTGCCGCTGTTGCTCTTTGGGTACCGCTTGTCATAAATATTTTAGCGAGTACGAACCACATATTCCCATACACGCACCCACTCACACACACACATACACAATGACAACAGAGGCAGGATCTGGAAAAAATATATATTCAAAATAAAAGCGCCCATAAAATTGGCGGAAGCCGAACGAGAGAGGCCGATGCAGAAATCCTTTTTTATTAGCCGTGCCCAGCCAAAAGAATAAAAACCAACTAGGCATGCTATAGCCAGCAAAGAGAGCATGACATCTAGTATATCCTCTATAAAAAGAATAATGATCTAATATATCTTAATATTAAATTCTTATAAATAAATATAAAATATGTCTTAGCAAATTTTTGTACACTCAAGTAAACTCCAAAAAGAGCTATTCGCACTCTAGTATACCCATTGCCAGCTGCAGAAAATGTGCAGGGTATACAAAATATAGAGTAAACAAAAACGCATTTGGTAAAATATTTACACAAGTACCAAAAACTGGGAGCAGCGCAGACAACGTTAGAAATATAAAAAGATAAAAAGTATTTTCTCGTTTTTGGCAAATACTCGACAATGGAGATTTCCTGTATTATCTGTAGGTAAAGCTACAGTAGATAGACTATAAATATATAAGTATAGCCAAAAGAGGAAAAGAATCACATTAATATAGGGATAAAATAATAACACACGATATATTAATCTTAAGATTAACATTCAAATTTATAGATTTTGATCTCTATATCTATTCTAACGCACAAACAAAATAGAAATACTCCTTAGTTAACTTGTGATACAGGGTATTGGCGGGCCAAATAATAAAATTTAAATATACAATATATAGAATATAAAACTAGAATCTTTGTTTTATAGATATTGTTTTTTTTTTTTTTATTCACCTAATACACAACAACACTTCATATATACTCCTAATTTAGTACCTGGTACAGGGTATTAGCGAACAAAATCAAATAAAATATAAAACAGCAGCCATTTTATTTTTCGGCAACAATTTTTGTCGCCATCGTTGTCTTTTCTGTGGTTGTGTGGGTGTCCCCCACTCTCTGGGCGCGTGTCTGTGCTCTATGTGTATGTGTGTGTGTGAGTGTGTGTATCTGTGTGAGTTGCAGTAAATAAATATACGCGCGTATCTCTGATGGGGATTTATGGCGAAGCGGCGCGTCGAGCCACGGCCATGCACTTGTTGTTGTTGTTGTTGTTGTTGTATCTTTTGGGTAGGGCCTAGGACTTGAATAAATGATAGATTGAAATTTATATAGCCAAAGCTCGCGCGCTCCGTCCCTCACCCGGCCCCCGCTTCAATTGCACATTTTTAGACAATTTTCGACCTAAAAATGTATTTTGATTTGCTTTTGCTTTCGATTCTTTTTTTTTATTTGTTATTTGTGGCAAGGCTAAGTGTGCAAGAGAGAAGGAGAGAGTGAGAGAGAGAGAGAGAGAGAGAGAGAGAGAGGGAGCGAGATTTATGCAATTGCTCGCATATAAATTGTCTAGGTAACGATATATATGTATGAATATATATACGTGTGTTTGGCATTTATATAGTTAGTTGATGCCTTATATATACTCCTAGTGAAGTTATGAAATATGCGCGTGAAAGTTTTACTAAAATCTATTTCACGTTATTTTTAGCGGAGACATAAAACCCCTTTAAAAGCTATGCTTATGGAGGTTGTTTGAAGGGTTTTCAACAGCGTTTGCTTGAACAAATTCATTTTTGATTGAAACTTTAACTAAAAGCAATTTATTCTTTCTGTGCAGTTTAAAGTCAAATTAAGTAAAATCTATGTGAAATTCGAAATGATATATAGAACCCTAAAATTTTATTGAAATATATTTATTTAAGTCATCGCCTACTTTCTCTATGATGTACAACAATATATATAAATTCTAATAAAATTCAAAAGAATGTTTTGAAGCAACAAGTTAATCAAATGTATTTTAGCTTGGAATTTATATGAAGAATGAACAAGAGTCTTCGATGACGTGAAGGAACTTTAAGAACTGATTTCGTCTTAAGGACTAGATACCTTACATCATAACAAACTCTTCTGATATAAAGCATCTTTAATATCTCTTAAAGTTTTAGAGCCGAGATCCTTTAAATCATCGTTGATACCTTACACTATATAATAACTTTTAATGTTGTTCGCTTGTTAATGGCGCACACAAATTGTAAAATTTTTAAATGACTTTAAGCGTAGCATTGTAATGTTCGTAAATGAATTTTTCTTTGTCATTTACACAGTTTCGAAAATTGTTTAATTATTTAATTTTGTGCTTTGCTTGTGTGCCAATGCCGGCGGGTTTTTACCTAACTCTGGACAAATAGCAGAAAACACAAAAATTCAGACAATAGCCAAAAGTTTAATAATAACAATGGACAAGCAACGAAACCTATAGAGCGTGTGTGTGTGTGTGTGTGAGAGAGAGAGAGGGATGAGCTAGACAGAGCGAGGCAGACAAATAAAATTAAATCATATATCGTTTGTTTTCTAATAATTAAATTTACCAACGTTTTGGCTCGGCTCAAAACAATTTGTATTGGCCCAATTGAACGAGACTGGCAAAAATGCAACTTGAAATTGCCAAAATGGTTCAAATTGCAAAAATTGTGCAAATTTTGTGCATGCAGATTGCAAATTGATTTTCGTAGCTCTTTTGTTTTTCACTTTTAGCAATGAAAAAAAAAGAAAAACAGAAAAAAATGAATTGCTAAAACTAGAAGCCAAACAAACCCAATG